GACCCCAGCGACACAGCCCGGGCGGCCTGCGGCGGCGGCCAGGAGCCGGGTATTACCCCCTCCCGAGCGGCCAGGCTGAACTGTTTTCCAGATTTTTGCCCCCGATATTTCTGCACAGCAGCTTGCTTGCAGACGTAAGGGCCCGATCCTGCCAGTGTTTCCACTCGTGGCTCTTTATGTTCCCTTCTAGGCTTTATAAATTGGTTTCCTCAAATCCCAGGACAGTAGTGTGCTAGCTTATTATATCAGTGTCTCACCCCTTTCTTTTCGTGCTTGTGAAAACGCTGGTGTTTTTAGCCTTAATGCCATTGATTATACTGTAAACTGTCCCCTCCCTCCTAATCCCCTTTTTTACTCTTCTTTCAGCCAAACTGCCCAAAATCACTGCAGGTCTCTGCTCATTCTTGTCCCCTTTCTCTGAGGGTTATTTCTACTCTCATTTTTCAGCTCAGAACATGACGCAGTAATTGCACGTGAAGATGTCATTTGTTAAGCAGAACCATTAACATTCTGTTATTTGCTAGCTTTATGCATTCTAACACTTTATTTGCATTTTTCTGGGAGCTTTTGTACATTGAGTAAATGTTTTTGTTTTCATTGCACTCTGCAACAACGTTGGAAGCTTCTGCCCTTCAGTAACTCTACCTAGGGGCGTGCGCAGCCCAGTTAACCTGCCCCCTCCAGCAGCAACAGCCCCTTGCCCTGTGTCGGGCTGGTTTACTCATTACCTTCTCAAAAACGCTTTGTTAAAACTTTGTGTGATGTTTATCAATTGATGTATTCATCAGTCAGTTCTGCTTTATCTACCTACTTATGCCAACAGATTAGAAATGCATGTATTTTTTTTCTCCACGCCGACTGCAGAGACTTGCCTTTACACATCACTTACCTATTTTTACATAGGTTATGTGGTTCTGAAGCAATATTTACCCATTTGTTATTTGTTCTTCTCAGGAGCATTTCAACTACTTTTCTTAAAGTTTAATTATTTGTAAAGGAGAAGTGGCTAGAAACCCCAAACTGAGTCCCAGGTCTTGCTTAAGTGGGTAAAAGGCACAGTGCCACGCTGAAGCTCCTCCAGTTAAGGTATGGTATGAATCTGCAGCTGTAGCAGCTGCTCTGGAATGAGCCCATCCACGTGGCGTCGTTCTGTAGTAGCTATTGCAGAACAGGGAATTGCTAGGCGTAAGCCAGCCTTGAAAGATGCTCCTTAGCCCAGGGACTTTACAAACAGATAAGCCAGACAACGGGCACAAGAAAGGCATGTTATTTTCAGTGAACCTGGGTACTTCTTACCAAACCGGGAATGAAGAAACCCACCCACTGAAGCCGCGCAGGAGCGTCTGGAGCTCAGCAAGAGCCTCCTTCCTGGTGGGTGCGCTCCAGGAATGGGCCACTTTGGGACTGTTGCTTCAGGACTTCTTGTTTTGCCCTCTTGGTTTTGGAGCGTGCCTCGTCATAGGAAGTCCTCGACCTTCTGCTCCTCTCCATGAGCACCTCCTCATCTAGCAGCTCCCTGAGTCTTCACCTGTTGCTGAAACAAGATGGAAAGGGTTGCATGATTTCCTTGGCAAAATGTGTGGATGGAGTTAATTTATTTCATCTGTTCTGGTTTGGAGATCTACCCAACCGACTAGATGCTACCACCTCACCTGCCAGCGGGCTGGAGACGAGAACCCGCCAGAGTGGAATATTCTTTGTGCCGAAAACAGAAAGATCTGGAATGGGGTTTTGTAACTTTTTTTTTTCCAAGTGCTTCTATGTTACAATTTTTATCTTTAGCATCTGCATCTTACTCCAAATAAGAATACTTGTATATTAAAATAAAGAGTGTTGCTCTGAAAGGCTGGAATGAGCCTCCCCGACTGCTCCTTCCTATCTCAGCTCCACCCTGGTGAGGAGGACTCCACCGCTGGATTTTAACGTCAGAGGGAGCAGCCTGAGCCTCCGGCCGAGGCTGCGCACAGAGCAAGCGCCGCAGCTCATCCCAAAGCCAGTGCCCTGGCGACTGGAGCTTCGCCTTGTGGCTGATGGGAATTTGGCCGGTATAAACGTCCGATGAGCTCTTCCCGTGCTCAGTAACCCTGTCTCTTGCACCTCACGGCGAGCTGCAGTTTCCACTCGTGCACCTCGTACAGCCTCTGTCTACGGACAAGACCCTGCGTGGACGTGGGCAAGAGCAGAGCCAGGAGGGTCGGTGCGCTCTGCACCCTCGCTCTTCCCAGAGCAGCTCTGCCGTGGGGCTGCCGCCCGGGTCGCACGCGTCCCCTCCAGCTGCCATCCGGCCCCTCGGGGCGGCAGGGGCGGCCGCGGGCTGTAGGGACGCTGCCGGGCCAGGGCCAAGCGGCACCATAGTCCCCCTCTTCTGACCGCAGTGCCATCTCAGCAGTGCCCCGGCTGAGACAGTGGGATTTTAAGGACAATGTTGGCTCTTTTCTGAAAGGCCAGCGTCAATTAGCACCGCTAACCTGGCTGGGAAAAATGCAGAAATACCTAAAATAACAGTGTTTTGAAAAGTCCACGCAGGCAATAATGTTTTTCTCAGGAGTCAGTCTCAGGTGATGGCATCAGCTTCTGCGGCACTTAGGCATCACCCCAGACCTCCTTTGAGCTGCTGTCGCTATTATAGGCCAAGTAGTACATAGACTCTAAAACACCCTGGTGCGCGCACACACACACACTCACTCACTCACTCACCTTTCCCTGAAAAACGGCTCTCAGAGGCTGAAGTAAGCCGCAGGCACCCTTCCCATGCTCGGTGCATCCTTGGGAGGGAGGTGCAGCGCCGCCGGGTTGGTAAGGGTGTTGCAACAGCCCATGCAGAATAAACTGGAAGCGGCCCAGAGCAAGGCTTGCAGGGCGACAGCCCCACTGGCGGCCCGGGGGGGGGGGGGG